CGGATGAAAAAATTCAATTAATAATGTATTAATTATTAATCGCTGATGACAAATATTCTATTTTGTCCTTGATAGATACGGAGATAACTTTTGTTGTTCCTCATAAAATTATTTTTATTTTCTGGACAGATTTTTTAGGAGGAAGAAAGTTTTAAATTACAAGATAAAAAAATTTCAATAAATAGTTATATACTTTTTTTAAGTAGTTTTAATTTCCATTTATCTCTTAAAAATGTACATTTGATCCACGAAAGCGGAGGCTAGTAAGCGATCGAAACACGAGAAGGCGTCATTGAGATCACTATCTTGGAGATTAATGAGCCGAAGCTACAAGCTCTCTAATTAGTAGTACTACTAATCTCATCCAGCTAAAATTAGTCCGTTCTCCCACTTAACGTGTTCTCGCGTTAATGACAATTGCATCTTAACTAAGTTCATTTAACTGATTGAGCTGTTAAATTAGACGCACTATAATTTTGCAACCTTCTTTAATAACATTAAAACTTTCTATCATTTTATTATTCTTTTGTGAGAAATGCAAATACGAATTCTAAATATATGGATCCAAAAATAAATAATATTTCTCAGTTTCAATCACAAACTAGCGTATTGGATTTTTGCATTTTCATCCAAAGCGTTCCAGAGAAGTCGTAAAAAATAGCATCGTAAATTTTTATAACTAAATACCACTATAGAATTCCATTTTAATTATTCAAGGGAGATATTTTCCGAGTCCAGTGAGAAATAAAGTTTCGTCAGTTTAAAGCAAGAAAATTTATCACTAGCAATATGTGCGCTTTTATTTAATAATATTTTGGAAGCTTTTACAAGTTTTTTTTCTTTGGGACCACTTTTTTTCCTGATACTTATCATTAATTCAAATTCTATAATTCCAACATTTGAATATTTTAGAGATAAAAAGAGTAGATCTCTATTTAAAGTCCATGTTTAATGAAACTATTCATTTAACGTATATTGCAAAGGGGAAGTATCATGCTAGTTCGCGAAGTTAACACGCCGTATTTTCAATTTTGATTTTTTAGTATAAAAAAAATGCGGAACTTTTTTATTATTATAAGGAACTGTAGAACTGAAAAATGCTACTAAACTATCATTATTATTTTTATATTAATAGAATGTCGTTTTTTTACTCAACACGATGTGTACTATCTTTCATTCAAATGTTAAATAGTTTTTTTATTACCCAGTATATAAATATATAGATACATGTATGTATATTTAGTACAAGAATCATTAATTTAACTATTAATTTTTATTAAGTAAATATTTATTTACTGTAAATGTTGGTATTATTGAAAAAGATATTAAGATTTTTTTATTAAAAAATTAAATTTTTTTCTCAGTACATGTACTTTATATAAAGTGCGCTGATCATCCCGGTGCAATTAATGCAAAAACACGTAATTTGTCTTGACACGTGCTAAATAGTGCTGTTGAACCGAAATAGATTTTCAATATATTATCGCGTCACCTATCGACATCGAATCCAATTTGAAGGTTTCCACGTTGATTTCCATCAACCCGGATCCCTTAGGTTTCACACTATGCTCGTGTAAGATTTCGTACTCGGTCCGACAGGTCAATAGTAACTTCCGGCCACCATCCGGTGATGCGATAGCCGAGTTTTGTAGCAAACAATCTCCGGCTGCGGTACGACAACCGCCTCGTACTTGTGGCGAAACCACCCCATCAAACATCGAATGTCACCCGCAAAATCCGTCACGTAGGGATGGAAACGCAATTAATCTTTGGTAACGAAGTACGTAACTCTTAGTGGATTAATTCTTCGATTCTATTAAAACTTTGGTTTATAAATTGATACTCATTAAATTTTTATAACTATTTCCAACGTTCCCATGTAAAAAGTCTCTTGATTACTTGAGAATTAAAAAAAAGTATACAAATTTATTTATTTAAAAAATAGTTCTATAACTTTATATAAAATAAATAGTTCATAGAGAGTTTATAATTCTTGTAATTTTTCATATTAAACAAATTCGTAGATTTTAAAACTTTATTCAACCATTTATGTTTTAAAGAGTTAAATCCCACATATATGTATAGTAGATCTTTGCCATTGTACTGGCAGATTTTTAAGAAAATGCAAATTATTGTTATCATAATAACAGTATCAGATAAATTAAATTTTCTTTATTTTTAAATTATATTTCTACGTAAAAGTATATAAATATACTTTTAATTATCTCGATCGCAAACCGCGTTGTTTCCCCTTTTTTCTTTCCTTAAGTACTTTCATCCCTCCTATCACCTTTTCCTTCAGTAGACGTTCTAATGTGTCTCCTCATAACCTGATCTAATTAGGATTGCGCAGTTCTACTTTGTTCTGCCCGCGAGTTAGCTACATCACTTATATTACTTTTTCCGGTTCACATCATCGTACTATGTTTCAGACAGTTTCTTCTGTCTCTTACCAGTGGTCACGTGACATTTTCACATTTTCAGTTGCTCTAAAAAACGACGATTTCTGCTGAAATCGGGTTTTCCATCCCGTCCAACGTATCGGTTTCGCTGCAATTTATTCCCGGTTATTTGCTTCGCTATTGTTGACATCTGTCTCGCGCTCGTTTGCTTTACGACGAAATGAAATCTCGCGCGGTAATTTATACGAACTGTGTACATTTATGTGTGTGCTTTTATTCCGTAATATCATATTGTATTATCGTAACAAATAACTATCGTGTATTACTTTAGGTATTATCTCCCCGAACCTCTGCGGCATTGGCCTTTCGGCATGGCATAATTAGGTGGTAACCGGCAAGCAGGAGCATGCAAACACGATACGAAACATGAATAATCATTAAGCAAATCCTTCCCCCTCTGTTTGATTATCTCGTTATAGATAATATGAAATACGATAGTTACCGCTTGTGATAAATTCCACACATAAATGTATTTCGGAATAATTAATTATAAACGTGACCGCTGAATATTTAGGGCAACGTATTCGATTAATCGAATATCCGGATTGTCTACACTTGATATGATGCATGTTGTTAAATATTAATTAATAATTACTCGTATGTAACAGAAAGCTATGTGCAACAGCCGATAGTGCGTTACAGAGAGCAATTAGTTTCGTAAAATTTTAAAATCGGATCCTAAAAATCTGTCTTGACAGAAATGAGAGATGAGATCTCTAAATTTAAGTAAATTCGAGACAGAGATGGGAATTATTATTCAACATTTATTTAATCGCTTATACTTGCTGTCATCTAAATAGTATCATGCTAGAAGAAAGTTGACTAGTATATACGCATTTAAACATTTAAAGCCGTTTACAACATCGTGATATAATCGTATAGATTGTAAAGTTTGTACTCACTATTACTTAAGTTAAATTAATTTGCTCGTCAAGATACGTATCCATTGTTCCTATGGAAAATATATAACTCTCGTCGCTGTACAGATTGAATTAATGTAATTACTTTACACGTACAAAGATCGTACTTTCATCGCCGAGGTTATCACGCCCAACGTTAAAAATATTGTCTCTTCGTACTTCATTTGAAAAATCTGTTTGCAAGTTAGAAAATCGAAAAAGACACATAGATGATAATCCTGTGAAAAGTCATTAAGTCATCAAGAAAAATTTTACTTACATGATACAATCTTTTTTTTAAGTTGGGAATATTATGTAGAATTATTATGAGTCATAATTATTATTACTCGAGTTTTTGGAGCTGTATTATATTATATAATACATAAATAATAAAATTATTTTAAGAGCCTACATAATAAGACTTTTTTCATTTATTCGTATTAATAAAATTATTATTGTATTAAAATTATAAATTTGGCAATGCACTGTAAACTAGAATTATGTTGAAGCAAACTCGACAAATTTATTTTTTTTCAAACTTTGAATTGGATTTTTCCGCAACTAAATAAAGAATTACAAAAATTAAATAATAGACATTAATCTTATGATTATTAATTGCGATTAATCCTTGATAGATGAAAATTGATATTAGGGTGATTTTATATATCTCATTAGATAGACAAGTTCATCGATAGACAAGTCATTACATCATGATCGTTACTAATCATACAATACATCGAATACAGCAAGTATCTTAATACTTCTAAAGTGTGAAATTGTCATTTAATACCGTTATTCTTCGATGATTCCAACAGTTAAATTATTCCTACATGGCTTCAGTCTGTTAAACGATTGGGTAGAAAAAGAGTCTTTGCTATATATGTTTAACAAAAGAAGAACGATCGTACATATAACAAAAATTATACGTGATATTACAACTAACCCTTTGAATAATGTCAAAAAAATTTCAATACCCAAAAATTGTACTTCGCTACGTAATTAATTATTTCATAGCTCTCTTACCGGTACCTTAATAACGTATTCGTGATTCTCATCTTTTCATTCACACACGCACACACAGATGCAACGACGAAAGCTGTTTCCACACAGTAGGCAAATAATCCTAATTTTATATTATACATCATATAACAGTATACGCTATAAGTGTCGTAGACTAGTCGCACATTTGATATCTTTCGTTCTTTTTTTTTTTTTTTCATATCGGTCCAAGATTTTTACACTTTCTTATGGCACATAACATTATCTTCAACGACAAGCACAGAACTGTTAAAATCACGTGAATTGCTAATATATATTCACGTTCGTCAAATCTAAAAATATCTAAATAGTATTCATTTACTTGTATCTTCTATACATTGATTAGCGACTTGATTTCCCCAGTTTTTTAAAATAAAGTGATTTATACTTATCGAAAGCCCACCTGCGTTTGCCGTCAAACGGGTTCCGTTAAAAATTGTACATTAAAAAGTTTTGCAATACACTAGCCTGTGTATTACTATATTATTGTTTTATCACTAAGGTTACTATCAACAACAATAGATAATAATAGATATTATTAATAATAATAGATAGAATCATAGCCTGATATATTTAATTAGATCGAGAAGGACATGAAAAAAGAGAAAATGCAATATCCTCCCGAGTAACAAACCGAGATTACTCATCTAAAGTTTGCTCCCAGCATCGAGTTGCTGGTGTAAGCTAATTAATCTAACTACCAGTTATAATGAGATTATAATTTTTCCAGGCAACATGACTCAAACTTTCAAATGATATGCTACTCGTTTCCGAATATCTAAAAACTTTACGTCATTGCCATGGCCTCAAATTTAATTGTTTGTGACGTTAAGAAAATTAGACATATCATATACAAATATAAATCTGAATATTTAGTAATTTCATCATTATTACATATATCTACCACAGAAACTCGCCGTGAGAAATATTCGCCGACGCAAATACATCGCAAACGTTTCCTAAAGAACTTATTATTTATTGTTTACGGTATAACGCGTCTGGAACGTATTTCGAATATTTTCGAAACATTTGCGAAGCGTTCGTCGAAACGACTTCTCTTCGAAATCGGCGCACTTTGGTCCGTACTTCTATAACGCGGTATTTACTGACAAACATCGGATTCTACTTCTTTCTTTGGTTAACGCGAGAACAATATTTAGCATAAATACTGAATGAGAATCAGACCGATAGCATTCGCAACTAAACATGCACTGTCCACTCTCAAGTTTTGCTGAGGTAGTGAACATTGTACGAAGGAGAACAAACTCTTAAGATCGGGCAGAGCGTCTAGCGCTGCTAAACGGTGGAAGAGTATTTCGTTCTTATTTCTTACGTCATTCTTATATAATTCTTGAACAGTTCTCCGTAGATTAAAGGGATACTTATCAACATTTCAAGATTTAACATTTAATATATCGACAACGAACAAATCTTTTCAAGGTCTGGTTCGTCTCTTAAAATTAATGGTCCTGCATCAAGTAATTTCAGCGCGTTTACTTTGCGGGATTTCTAAATTAGGCGATTTTAAGCTTATACGCGTATTTATAGGGCTTTATATTACACTGTGTGTGGCCATTGTGGGCGTCCGCACTGCCCACTCGCCTTATTCGCTTACCTAGCACGGATTAACCGTACCCTTAAATATCCAATTGTCCGAATGTCCAATTAAATCAACCCGTCCAATTGTCCCACCCACAGGACGAGTAAGCGATAACGCCTTGTTCCAAGATGCGACGAGGATAATGAACAGATGATGAGCATAATCGGCAACTTACGTTACCTACGCGGAATAATCCAGCGAGTAGTCTCAACCCGCTAATCAAAATTCACGAAAGTTCTATCACTTGTATTCAATCTTCTCGAACCGCTCCGTTCGCAGGTGACTGAAAAATTGGAGCAATAGTGTCCTATTTCCGTAAGTTCTGTAATCGCATTCTCTCCTGATTTTATTCACGTCACACTGTCGGAAGTCTCCTATCTGACAGAAATCTCCCTCGAAGACCTGGTCCGAGGATGAAGAAAGAATCAGGTCCATCTAGAAGCAAACGGAAATATAAAGAGAAACGGCGAATAAGGAGAAAGAGAGAAAGAGAAAGAGAAAAGGGATGAGACACGTGGTGATGGAATTTCATTATCTGGTGGAGTTTGAAGAGGTAAGTCGCGTGAGATGTCCTGCAGAAGATCACATTTAAACGAATAAATCTGGCTAACTGAGAGCGCGATGCAGTTGCCCCAACACAAAGCTCGAAAAGCAAATGACTCGCAGATTAATTCCAACCCCAAGGTAATTTCCTTTCTCAACCTTCGTCACCTTGCAATAAAAAAGATTTTGAAGTAACTAAAGTAAAAAGTCGCGCAGTAGAAATGAAAAATCGAACATTTTCTTAATTAGAGAAACGATGTTAATTAAATTAATTTCTTTAAATTTAATTAATCTACTTCGCTGAGTTTCGTTTCGGTATATATACCTACTTTAAAATTTTATAGTTTCTTTCTAAGAGCTTAAAAATTTGTATTTTAAAATTTTCCTTGTGTATATACTATACAGGATGTCCCGACCTTTTTTGTCAATCACTTTTGTGTAGATAGAGTGGACTAAACTGAGTCGAAAAGTCCTCTACCATTTTCCAATTTTCGCAATAATTAACAAGATATTAATTACTAAAAATTGCAAAATATTAGTCTTGAATAATTTTTTACTCAAATACTATCAACTTTACGGAAAAACTGCAAGAGACAAAAATTATTTATTTTCTTCTCATAAAGTTCTGAGAATTTTTTCAGAATGTTTTCAGAATTTTTTAATACCGTATTTTCTCATGTTGGTAAAAATAAGAAAATGCAGTACTAAAAAGTTGATAAAAAATTCTGAAAAAATTCTCATGGGAAGAAAATAAATAATTTTTGTCTTTTGCAATTTTTCTGTAAAGTTGATAGTATTTGAGTAAAAAATTATTCAAGACCAATATTTTGCAATTTTTAGTAATTAATATCTTGTTAACTATTTC